TGCTGACTCGCCAAACCAAGTGGCCCACTCCCAAGGCCACCCTGGCGCGCCGTCAGCCACCAGCGCTGCCTGGGTGGGCCACAGCTCCACCGGAGACCCACGGGCGGGCGGGCACCCCCGAGAGCACAGGGGAGGCTGCAGGCCTCCAGGGGGCAGGCAGCCGGGTGAGCCAGACCAGGCCCCCCGGGGGGCCCTGGAGCCCGTGGCCACTGGGAGCCCGCCAGGCCTAGCCCGAGGCCCCCCCAGCCCGGACAGCACCCACCCAGCAGGCACCAGAAGAACCTCGCTGGTAACGGGTGCCACTCTGCAGCTGCTGTCAGCCCCACCCCGCTCACCCGGCCGGGCCTGGGCCCTCCGCTCAGGGGCACCCGCGGCAGGAGGGACATGCAGGGCAGGAAGAGGGGACACGGAATGACAGCGGGGGGGGTGCCAGTGCTGCTCCCAGGACAGCACCAAGCTGGACAGTCAGGGCCCGGCCCCGGCTCAGAGGCCGGGGCATACCCAACGCCACCTGTGACCAGACACGACAAGGCCTGCCTTGCTGGGGTGTCACGGGCACAAAGGGACAGCAGGTGATGAGGGGGCCGGAGCATGGGGCCTCTGCGGCCATGGGACAGTGGGGCCAAGTGCCCTGCAGCTGTGCCCCTCTGCCACGCCGCAGACCCAGCTGGTGGCCAAGGGCTAGGGTGTCTCCCCGGCCCCCCAGCCCCTGCAAGCCCTTCCTGCGGGCCAGGCTGCCTGCGACATCACACGGGGACACAATGGCCACAGCGTATCCAGCTGCTCCGGCACGTGAGCGGACTGCACCCCCGGGATGCCCACCTCTGTCGGAAGCCCCACCACCCACCCACCACCGACCAGGACACTGCCCTCACCCCGGCCTCAGCCCTGGCTCCGAGCGCCTTCTGCACCTGCGTGCCCCGCTCCCACCCCAGACCTCAGCACTCCCACCAAGGGGGAAGGAGAACTAGGCATGTGTTCGTGCCTTCACTCGTTCCTCCCATGTACGAATACTGAGCATCTCCCCGGGCTAAGCTCAGAGACGCAGGGAAAGCAATCACCGGACAGGCAAAAGGCTCCACCCTTTCCCACCCCCCAGATGGGGCTGCCAGCCACCCCTCCAACCCCTGTCCTGAGAAGCCACCTCCCAGACTGCCCCCCATGGGTGCCCCCGATGCAGGCAGCGCTACTGAGCCAGGGCTCACCCCATCCCTCATGCCATCCTGTGCCTCGTTTCCAAAGCTGTCACATACGGGAGTCAGATGCAGCATTTCCCGGCTCCCCCCCGTCTCTGGGCTGCCTGGGTCACACCTGGGCCACCCCCGAGGCTGGCAGACCAGGGTTCTGGCTTCACCCTGCTAGGACTCCTGCCTTGGGGAGCACTGCCCCCCTCCCAGAGCTCCCGCCGGACCCCCCCCACAGCAGCGGACGCCCACTGGGCCCTCCCGCCCTCTGCCTTGACTGTGCCCTTCCTTCCACCGGACTGCCTGCCCCCTGCACCCCTGCAGCCCATTTCCTCAGGCTCCAGTTCAGACCCCACCTGAGACACAAACTAGGGGACACAGGGTTGCCCTTGAAGGACACCCACACACCCCGCTCCCCCATCCGGGGTTGGAGGTCCCAGGGGTCTCCCCTTCTCTTTCCTCCGACCAGCCACCCTGCTCTCCTCATCAGGGTGGGCATCAAGAGACACAGGGGGCAATTCAGCGCAGGTTTCAAGTGAGTGCACGTGCCACCTCCAGCCCCAGACCCAACCTGCCATCAAGGGTCCATGTCCTCCACCCACCCACCTGGTGAGCGCCCCAGCCCCTGACAGTGAGACCCGGACATACAATGGTGGCCCCACGCGGCTGTGGCTCACACATCATCTGTGGCTCCCTATGGCCCCAAGCCAAGTTCTAACTTCCCAGCCTGGCCCACTGGCCCCTGTCCTTCCTACCCTCAGCTCAAGGGTAGGAGGAGATAGAGAGGGGCCTGTGGGATTCATGCCTCGGTCACCCTTTAGTCTGTGTCCAGAATGCCCCCAGACACTCCTCACCGCCCCCCCCCCGTTCCTCCAGGAAGCCTTCCTGGATGCCCTCACTGCTGGGGTTTTCCCCACTGAGTTTTCATTCCTATGTGTACCTACCCAGCACCCTCTCTGCTCTGGGTCCCATGCTGAGAGCACTGGGGTCAGGGGTGAGTGAACCCCTATGACCCCACCATCAGGGAGCCCACCACCTGGAGTGGGGGTCAGTGGTGGGGACCCACAATAATCGGGCAATGGACTGCATCAGACAGAAACAAGACTGGAGGCGGCTCTCCAGAAAGGTGGCCTTTGGACAGAGATGCAGGCCCCACCCCACGGATATGGCATGGGCCCCCAAGCCGGGAAAGGCATCGGACCCTCCACGAGCCCCTCGAGAACAGTGCTCACCACCGTCTGTTCTTGCTGCCACTCTGGAAACCACTTCCTGCCCCATGTCTCCAACACCCCCACCTCTACACACGCACCCCCACCTGAGGCCAAAGACCAGAGCCCCACTCTCCACGGAGGCCGGACAGATGGGGAGCGGAGCGGCCGGAAACCTGGTGTCCTGCTCCTCAGCCCAGGCAGGGTTCCTTCTTCCCTTCCACACGATGAATCACGCAAACTTCATCTGTTCAGAGCTCGGGCCCGGGGTGGTTTTAATAAACACAAGGCCTTCAGAGCAGCCGAAGGAGATGCCAGAAGGCCCTGCCACAAATACCGCCACTGTGCCCCAGGAGAGCCACCAGGCCCTCAACTGAGAGCCCAGCAACTCTTGCTTTGCACACAATTATGATCCCACCAGAAAGCCACAGATACTTCCAAACCCCTCAAGGGGGTCACTAAAACCCAAGACAACAGACCGTGGCGGTCTAAGCTGCCGTTTACCAACAATAAATAATAGTACAGGCAGTTACCACCTGTGGAAAACCTGCTTTCCGACAGAGCCTAAAGACTCTTAGGATCCAGGAGACCCTAAGCTCCTCCGTTTACTAGCTGGGGAGGGGTTTCTACGTCCCTGAAGCTCCCCTT